TATTTTTTCCATTAAAATATTAATTTTTTTATTATACTATAACATTATTTATTGTATATAAATATAAATAATTTATATTAAATATAACATAATAAATATAAACAACACAATAATGTACATAAATAATAAATGAATATAAATAGATAATTGTTTAATAATGGCTAAAATTCATGAATATCATAACATAATTTATATAATAATATTCAGATATCAATAGTTTGTCAAAATATTAAAATTGCAAGTTTTGTAACTAATTTGTTTTTATCCTAACTTGTTTCGTTAAACAGAGTATCGAATGATATATTACATTATATTATACACATTTTAAAAATAAGCACAGTCACCTGTAGTTGAAAGTGTTTAGAGATTTTTATTACAAATAGATTTATCGAATAAAAAATTCTAGTAAAACAATAATATTTGATTTATGACAGTTTTTTAACTTAACTGTTTCAATGCAAATCTTTCTTAATTTCTTTTTCTTTCATGTGATATAGTTTTTTATTTGTCGTTTATGTTATGCCCTTATTGGTTAATACAACTTATATTCTGCAATCTTACTGTATTAGATATAGAGAATTGAAATCGAACATAACATCTTTTTATGTGCTTCTTGCTATTGTTTATTATAAAATAGACTATTTTATAAAATGAAAATTTATCGTGAGATTTACAGAGAATTATAATAACAAAAAATAAATGTTAGTTTGTAGGATTATTAAAAAAAAAATATGGCCATATAAGAAATATACTTAGAATATTATAAATTCTTTGAATTTTTCTTTTTTTCTCAAATTTTATATATATAAGTATTTCAGATTTTTGATTATATATGTATATTTATATGTAGTGTTTAAATATTAGAATAAAATTAATTTATTTACTTTACTTTTTTAATTATTATTTATTAAAATTATATAACACTTATTTTAGAACTACTGATGAAATCATTTATGTATGTGTGTGTGTGTGTGTGTGTGTGTGTGTTACTCTTCTACATTATTTTCAATTTATTCTTTTATTTAAAGAAAAAGCAAGCTATTAAATCTATTATTAAATCTACTATTAAATAAATTATCACTTTGAATTTTGAAAAAGTTAAATTATTAAATACATTTATTTTATAGTATAGTATAGTATAGTATATACTTTATTAGTATAGTATATACTATATATAGTATATATATATATAAGTATAGTATATACTTTATAGTATAGTATATACTTTTATAAAAAAGTAAAAGTGATTTATTTTAAATTTGTAAAAAAATCTCTGATTCAAAATAATTATAGAATTGTAAAATATATTTTTATGATAATATACTTTAAATATTAATAATATATTATAAATATTTCTATAGCATTATATTTTAAATTATATTTAAATAATAAATTTAAATAATAAATTATATTTTAAATTATATTTCTATAATTTAATCACAAATTTATTAAAATTTTAATTATTTTGAATAAAATTGAAAATATATTAATAGAATCTTATAAATACATATTAATATAACTATAATTTATCTTATGTACGAAAATATATAGATACATATATGTATAAATATATATTAATATATAAATATAATATATGTAAATATGTAGATATTATGTATTAATATATAAATATAAGCATTAGTTGTTTGTCAAATAAAATAAAAATAAAACAGTCAAAAATAAAATAAAACTGATTATTTTTTATGTATATTTAAATCATATTTGAATTAAATTTTCTTTATTTTATTGAAATTACAAATCGTATATGCTTACTACGCAAAAGACAATCTATTATCACTAGTAAAATAATCCATGGTTAACGGTCTTTGTGTGGGGATGGGAGGCGTGACTAAAGATAAAGTTATCAAATCACGTCAGAGATCCGTCACAAAATATAAACGAATTTTGAAATAGTACTTGTACTTCGTTAAATTCAACTCTTGAACGTAAGCACTTTCTCTGTGATTTGTCAAAAATACAATGGATACATATGAAAGTGTATTACTCGTGAAATCTGAAGTATTTGTATTTAAAATACCACCAAGGTCAACGAATAGGGGTTATCGGTACGATTGATTCTTTTTGACAGCGTTTTTCTCTTTAATTTTATGACAAGTAATTTTTAACAAGTATGCAAAAATATATTTAAACGTGACATTGCTATTTAAAAAAATTCATATATTTGTTATTAATTTTTGTTGTAACATATATATAAATGTAAAAGTTATACCGGAAATTGTTAAAAATGTAATACTATTTTATATATTGAATATAAAATATTTTTAATTTGTACTGTTAATATTATATTAAAAAAATTTAATTTTAAATTTTTAAGCTTTATAAAAAAAATCCAATCAAATATTAAGTATTTAAAATATAATATATATTTCAGTTTTATTAAATATAAATTTCTTTGTATTAAAATAAATAAATTTATTCATAATATGTAAAAATACTGATTAATGTAATTTAATAAAAAGAAATATATTACTTTTTAATATATATTATATTTTAGTGCAGCTGATTGGAATCTTCAAGAACCTACATGGACTGGACGTATGCGTTTAGTTTCTCAAGGAGATTCAATTACTATAAAATTAGAAGATAAAGTTACTGGAGAATTATTTGCAAAGTGTCCAATTGAACAATATCCAGGAATTGCAGTTGAACCAGTTACAGATTCTTCTCGTTATTTTGTTCTAAGAATTCAAGATGATAATGGAAGATCAGCTTTTATTGGTGTTGGATTTCTAGATAGATCTGATAGTTTTGATTTAAATGTTGCTCTTCAAGATCATTTCAAATGGCTCAGAAATCAAGAACAAATAGAAAAAGAAAAGGATAAACCAAAACAAGAATTAGATCTTAGATTTAAAGAAGGAGAAACAATAAAAATAAACATGAAAATTACTGTAAGATTTTTTCATTTTTCACTTTAAATATTACTATAAATATTTAAAAATTCAATTATATAATAAATTATATATTTCACACAATTATACAATATAATTTTTATATTTATGATACATAGAAAAAAGATGGTACAGAAGTTTCTACTAAAACAAAACAACGTACCAATACAAATTTGGGTTTACCACCTCCACCAGGTGGTGTAAAAATTGCTCCACCACCTGCAAAAACTCCAACCTCATCTCCTGCACACAAACCTATTCAGAATCAAACTCAAACAAGTTCTGAATGGGGAGAATTTGCTAGTGCATCACAACAATCTCAAACTCAACAGTCAACAGTGGGAAATGCCGGTTGGGTTCAATTTTAATTTACAGGTGTATTAAAATTTAATATAGCAATATTGTAGTATCATAGTGTATGTGTGTGTGTGTGTGTGTGTGCGCGCGCGCGCGCTCGTATGTATGTGTGTATAATGATAATAAAAAATATATATATATACAAATATATATATATATAAATATATATATACATTTAATTTATATATTCACTGTTACATATATATATTAACATAAGTGCATGTTGCATATAAATACCTTTTAAGGGTAATTATTGACAAAGATGTTTCTATGTACATAGTCAATGAATATATATACTTTACTATATTATGATATAGTATTTTTTTTTTTAATTTGTTTTTTGATTCAAATTATGAAATAATTTATATCTAAAAAAATTTCATTTGAATTACTATGTAATAAATTTTTTTTAAAAGTTAAGTAAAATATATATTTCATATTCATATTGTAATTTTTGAAGCATTAAGATAGATTAAAAAATATAATTAATATTTAATTTTCGTTACTATATTTCTTATTATTATATCACAAATATTAAATAATCTACATATTATATTTTTTATTTAAATAAACAAAATATATAAAATATATGAAATAATTCATATATTTTATATAAATAGTTAACGAATAAGTTTTTTGTCTTATACAAATTAAAAAGAAAAAAATTGAACAATAAAAAGTATATATAATAAATAAAAATTAATATAAGTTTAAAATATCAAATAAAATAAAATATTATTAATAACAAAAAATTGTATTAATAATATAATTATTGAATATAAAATATACTAAAAATATTTTCAATATTTTCTATTGCATGGATACATTCTTTGTGAAAACCCTTAAAGGAGTATGAATTAAATTGTGGTACAGTCTTGATTAGTATTAGTTTTTGGTATTTGTACATAAAGCAGAAATTATGCAAATGTACGGCCTAATTTTCTGGATGTGTTAGATTTTTAGATATTTTGATTTTGCATTAATAAATAATTTTTATTATTATGTTATTATTTAATTATATTATGAAACATATGATCTTTTTATGTATTCTTTTAACTTTAAAAATAATATATTAAAGATTTATTTTATGTTAATATTAATATAATTTTTCTTAAATATCTTTATTAAATAGATAAAAATTTGGATTAAACTTCTTTTTGTTGCATTCAAAATATTTGGATCAATTTTTATATCTTATATAAAAATTAAATATAATTAAATATATCTTATATTCGATAAATAATCTGAAAATTTAACTTTAGAAAACTGATTTTAAAATATATATATATAAAATATAGTTTATATATTTGATATAAAATATAAGAAATATAAAAAACTTAAGTATTTACATGTTGAATTTTTATAACTATAAATAGTTATATCAACAAAAATAAACTATAATAATGATGATAAAAATTGATCCAATATTTAGAGTGTAGGAAGATCGTTTTTAAAATTATTTTAAAATAAAAAAAAAATTATTGTTTTTCATTCAAAAATATGTAAAGACAAAAAAAAAATGAATGCAAAATTAATCTATATATGAATTAATGAAAATAAAATTTATGACATATCTTTATTTATAGAAGGAAAGAAAGTATTCCGTGTATATATTAAAAATTATTATTTAAAGAGATGATATAAATTTTAAATTAAGTGCAAAATGATTGTAAATTATTTACAAACAAAAATTTGTTAGATGAATAGGTATTTGAAATAATAATTTACATATTTTAATATCATTGTATATTGTAAATGATATTAAATAATATTGTTAATATTATCTATGTTATCTATGTAATATTTAACAAAAATATCTCATAATTCCGTAAATTACATTCCATTCACGAAAGTAATAATAAAATATGTATACGCGTGTATGTATATGCACATATTTAACATTATTTTTCTTTTCGTAGTAAATGAAAAATAGTATTGCTTTTTATTGTATATTTTCATTTATAATTATAATAAATTGCATAATTATTAATATACTAAATAATTATTAAAAATCATATTACAAATAATACTTTGCAATTACATACATAATAACAGTTGAAAATTTTATTCTATAGTAGAACTTTGATTATTGCACGAAATATAATTAAAAATATATGTAAATATCAAGATTTATGCAACAAATATTTCAAACAATCAGTCTAAGATTTATATGCTTTTTATAAATCATCATTTGTTTGTCCACAAAATATGAAACTATGCTCATCACAATATAATGAATAATGTTCATATGCATTAATCAAGGTTCTATTATATCACAAGATTATTTATATTTTTAATAAATAATCAACAACGTTTATTACGAGCAACATTAAGTCGTAAACTGCGCATAGCCATAGCGCGACTAAAATGACGTTGAACTGGACGTTGAAGTTGTCCATTAACTAAACTAGAATCTTCATCACATTCTACACTGCTTAAAACTACTAAAAGTACTCCAAGTACCTGTAACATAAATGTTATATATTATATTTTAAATATTTATTATAAATAACATTTATATTTTATCTTAATATAAAGTTTATTTGTTAATGTATTTATATCAAAGCAACATAATAATATTTTTATTTTTATTTTACATACCAAACAAATAATTATTAGTAATGTATAGATATGTATGCTTGCAGCTGGAAGTGACTCTACCTCTCTTAAAGCTTCTGCAGCTTCAGAGAGATCTGGTTTTAATTCCAAGGCATGTCGTAAATGTACTGCTGCTTCTTGATAATGGCCATATGCCTTTAAACAAAAAAATGATTAACTATTTCTTGATAATGTTATAAAATAAATGTAAATCAAAATCATTTTTTCTTACATTTAATATATTATAAATGAGATTAATCAAAAGGAATATATTAAATATATTATATATATTATATGTATTATATATATATAAATTACTATTATTTTAAAATAATTATATTTTCAAAGTTTTTAATTACTTTAAATATTTGTCCAAGTGTAAGATATTGTTCCCAAGCATTACGATCTGGAGGTTGCAATTCTAAAGAACGTCTTGCTAAATATGTTGCATCATCCAAATATTGTTGAACTAATAATACTCGAGCTAAATTTAATAATACTTCTGCATTATGTGGTGATACAGCAAGTGCTCTTCGAAAGCATTCAATTGATCTTTGTGCATCACCTTTTATACGCCAAAAATTTCCTATTTGATTGTAAAGTTGAACAGATTTTGGTTTCTGAAACAAATTCAATAATTTCAAATGATTTTTTTTTATAAATTATTCACTTTTTTTTAAATAAAATATTTTTTAATAATTATACCTCTCGTTTTGCTTTTATTAAACGTTTTTCTAACAGATCAATATCAACATCCATAGTTTTGCCACCATTTTTCTTAAACATAAGTGCTACATTAGGTTCTGGAACTAATGGATGTTTATCTCTATTTGCAACACCAAGCAAGTTATCATAATAAGTGAAATTAACAGGCTTTCCACAGTCTAGAATTATATCCTCACATTGTTGACCAGAAGCACACATAACTTGTTCATTTGATACTTGAGATGATAGAGGAAAAGATTCAGTGGCATTTGATGTATCCTTCAACACGTATGACGAGAATCGTCTGCCAAGGGGACCAAAGTTAGGGCTTTTTTAACGCTGAAAGAATAGTAAGCCACACACAAATACTAACTACAGGAAGAAAAAGAAAATTGCATTATTAAAAACAAAATCTAAAAAATATAAAAATTAATAATAAATAAAATATAGAAATAAAAAAAATTCAATATATAATTTTTTTTTAGATTAACTATATTTAAGAATTATTATATATTTCATATATTTACATATTTCATACAGTTTGAATATTTAATCTTATTAATTTCTTAAGAAATTAAATATTTTTAATTCTTATAAATATTAATTCATCTTGTAAATTCTTCTTAATATTTAAAAATGATGATAAATGAAACATATGTTGTAATAATGCTCTGCATATTAATAATTATATTAAACATGCAAAACATGCAAATGTGATATAAAAAATAATCTTAAATATAAAGTATAATATTATTTAATGTTTTATATGTGATATAAAAAAATGTGATATAAAAATCTAATCTTAAATATAAAGTATAATATTATTTAATGTTTTGATTAAGATCTTATTGATATATTTATGATAAATATTAGTATTATAAAAAATACAATGAATAAATATAAAAATCTATTGAAAACTTTATCTTTAAAGAATTTATCATTTCAGACCTTTAAATATCTTTTAATTAAGTGGAATGTTACAATAATATCTATTATTGAGAGAGAGAATACCATAGCATATATGCAAAAAATCATAAAACATGAGATCTTAATTTTCCAGGTATTTAAATTCTTGAATTATGTTTAAAAAATATAAATCTCGAAATCCACTTTGTTTCAAAAAATGTTAAAAGTATCATTTTGATCAGTATCATTTTGAATTTTATATTCTGAAACAAGATGTGCCACATAGCTCTTACCCAAAATAAATCAAACTCCTGTGATTTCTTACCGTTCATGATTTCCAGAAGCAACATTTTTGCAATCTTGACAATATGATTGTATTTTTTCATAATTTTCAGAAATAGCTGTCCTACTCCAACTTTGTCCATTTCCAACATTAATGCTACTAGCCAAGATATCGAAAATAGGATCATCCTCAATTGTATTCACGAAATCTGTTGTCTTGACGACTTTGTCAGCACTGAGTCTCCAAGAAGTTCTGGAGTTTGTTAATTTTGCTTGGAGTATCAGAAAACAAAAAAGATAGCCAACAACACGACCATCAATTCCAATAACTTGCATTCTTTCACTTCACGAAAACTGATTAAATACTAAAGCGTAGAAAAATCGTCTGCTTTTGCTATAGCAAGATGAATCCTAAAATTTTCATCCAGATGACTATCCTTTAGGAATTATTAAACTAATTGCCAATATTTATTTTTACTATTATAATGTTCCTAGAAATTGTAAATTACTTTTATTTATTATATTTCGAATAAAGTTGAATATTAAAAAGTTGTTTTTTTAAAAGATTTTTATATCTTATCGATTTTTATATTTATTAAAAAAATAATTAAAATATTTGAAAATTAATAAATAATTATAATTGATTTAATAATAAATAATGTTTTCGTATATCAAAATAATTAAATATAAAAATTCAATAATAATTAGATTATTATATAATTTTATTATAAAAAATTTATGTAAATATATACATAAATACATAATATTATTTTATATTTATTATAGTCTTTCAAATATATTATTATTTTCGCGCCTAAAGATATTTAATGAGATTTTCTTCAACGATATTTTAGTAAATCTTATCGTAAAAGTACGAGTTTCATTTTCTTACTTTTTTGTTAAAATATGGAAATCGAAAAAAGTACAAATAACATTGAAACAATGAAAATTGATACACAATGTATGCAAATTTGTGAACACGAAACTTGTAATATGGATACAAAATTCTCGGAATTACATCTAAATTTGAGTAAACGTCAACTGAAAAAAGTAAAAAAAAAAGAAAAATGGTTGAAACGAAAGGTTGAACTAAGGTTTTTATTTCTCAGTTCTTTAATAAATTAAAGAACTATACATATGATTCTATATGTATACAATATATTCCATTATTTTATTATGATTAGGTTAAATTAATTTTTTAAATTATATCAAATTGAATTTAATAATAATACTATTGATAAAAAAATTATTTTAATTTTATAGATTACGTGAACGAGAGAAAGCAAAACAAAAACGAGCATTTGCTCGTGCAAATAATATAAATCTTGGACCATCCAGAAAAGCTTTAAAAAAAAGTATAATGGCAGAGAGTAGTTGTAAAATTGGAATAACTATTGATTTATCTTTTGATGATTTAATGATTGATAAAGATATTGCAAAATTAACTAAACAAATATTAAGATGTTATACTTTAAATAGACGAGCTATTGCACCAATGCAATTTTCTCTTACAAGTTTTAATGGAAAATCAAAAACAGATATGGAAAAACACAATGGATATGAACATTGGGATGTATGTTATTTTAATAAAATTGAAATAATATATTATACAAAAATAAAAATTTGTATAATGAATAATTTATATTCTAATTTTTTCAAAATTTATATTGCAGGTAAAATTTTATGCAGAATCTTATCTAAATGTTTATCCAAAAGAAAAAATTATATATCTTACTAGTGAATCAGAAAATGTTATTACTCAATTAGAACATGATTATGTGTATGTTATAGGTGGTCTTGTTGATCATAATAGTCATAAGGTAAGCTAAAATTTGTGGTTCATATAACTTTCTTATAATATTTATATTTTTAGGGTCTCTGTCATAAATTAGCTGTACAAGTTGGCATAAAACATGGCAGATTACCTCTAGATAAATTTTTGCGTATGAAGGCAAGAAAAGTTTTAACTATTGATCATGGTATGATTAATATACAATTACTATTAATAACTAAATTCAGTTAAATAATATAAACTTTATATATACATGTAAAAATATTTTTAGTGTTTGAAATATTACTTAGAGTCAGTGAAGGAAAAACATGGCAAGAAACATTTTTACAAGTTTTACCAGAGAGGAAAAATGTACAATTAATTGTACCATCAGGAGATAATAAAGATATATTAGATATACATAATAATAAAAAAAATTTTTTCTACACAAATAATAAAATTGAATCAAAAGTTAAAATCAATGAATTTGAAAACATAAATGATGTATGTACATAACAAGTATATATTGTAGATAAAAAATATAATTTTGCATTTTGTTTTATATTTTTACTAACTTTATTTTATCATGTGTATTTCATAAAAAGTATCTATGTGTATATCTACTAATATACACATGTAAGTTATTGTAAACAAAAAAAATACAAGATGTGAACTTTATTTCTAAGAAATTAAATATTAAGTACATTAATTTTATATATGGGATATTAAATGGAATGATATATATAAAATATCAATATAAATAATTATATAAATTAAAGATAAGATGTTTTTATTTAAGATGATCTAATAGATTTACTTTAAATATAATCTCTTATGCAAAATAAAAATGTAAAACAACAAATTTACACTTTAAAAAAATATAGATCAATTTTTCTCAAATTTTGCAAGGAAATCTCAAAAATATTTTTTATATTTGTGTATAATTTATATACATATATCATTTACACTAATTATTAATTTAAAATGAAATAAAGTTATAAGAATAAATTAAATTTACATAAAATTAAACATAATTACCTCAAGTATTTTATAATTTCATATTTTATGTAATATAATAAAATTATGACTAGAAAATAATTCAATATTTCGAAATTAACAATGTTTTTAACAAATATTATTTTTGAAAATTAATATATAGCAATATTTAAATAATGATTTAATCATTTACTTGATAATTTTTAATGTTTTTAATGTTTTTAACAAATATTATTTTTCATTATTTGTACACATTTTCATATTTCTTATACTTTATTAATTAATAAAAAATATTACTTACGAGATATAATTAAATACTTTTTGCAAAATTTGGGTAAAATTAATTTTACTAATTTTAATAATATGTGATATTTGAAATTTAAAATTAAAATTTATATATATATATATATACTATCAATAAAATTATATAAATGATTTTAATTATAATTTTATAGGAAAAAACAAATAATTATTTTTTGAGATAATATGTACTATCTTATAATTTGATTTAAAATTTGTTATACAAAAATTTTGTTTTAAAAAATTATTGCAGTTTTTTTTTGTAAATATAACCAATTTTTTTAGCTCAAGTTTTAAACATATATTATTTAGTGAAAATAGAAAATAAATATTTATGCAATATTATTAAAACTTAATTTCCGATAAATTAGATTATTTTTACATGTAATTTTTGTAATATCAAAATTGGAGCAAGTATTTATTATAATAATATTTATTTATCTTTTATCTTCTATACTATATGGATATTATAATTTCTTATTTAAATTAATTTATAGGTAATTCTTTTCTGTTTGTAATACATATATACAAAATCATTTTTGACCACAAAAGTCAAAGTGACATTTAAATTGACAATTGTTATTTTTTGTTTAATTTTATCTTTTTCTTTCAAATTTTTTTAATCTTTTATATACATTAAGAATCGTTCATATATAGTCAAAAATAAAAATAAGAGATAATTCTTTCTGTTGCACAAAATATATACAATTTTATGAATATTTTTTAGCATATATAAATGTAATTACTAAGAAACTATTATTTGCATTATATAAGAAGAATGTTTAATTTTCATTAATTTTTATTATTAAATTTTTAAAAGAAATCTTTCATTATATCATTAAAAATATTTATATTCTTTTTGTACTAAATGATTTTTTTTAAAATAGAAATAGAAGTTTATATCTTTTATAGAAATATTCGTAAAGAAGCAAGAATATCTAAAATTAAAACAAAATAATTATTTTACTTAGATTATTATCCAATTAAAATGTATTTGAAATCATTTCTTCATTTAATTCTATTCTGCATAATAATAACTTCACAGTTCATATATCAGTTATTTTCATGCAATGTTATCAACATCTTGACCATCAATTATTTCAAATTCGCTACCACTTTCATCACTGTGACTAATTAGTTTGCTTGATATAGGTTCAAGTTCTGCTTCTTCCTCAGAAGATGATCCTTTTTCAAAATGGCCACTTTGAAATTTAATACCATCCATATCAGTTTCTTCAACACTAAGCTCTAATTCAGAGTTTTCTATATCATCAGTACTCCCATCTTCATGTGATGGCATTTTAAGACCCATAAGTTCTTCATCATTAAAAAACTCTATAAAAGAAATTTTTTTAATAGAATTTTATGAAATATATACTATATTACTAAATAAATATAAAATAAATAACAATAAATGATTAATAATATTTAAAAGTGCTATAATTAATAATATTGAACAATTAGTTATACCATTTTGAATATCAGATAATACGCTTGTAGGAGTAGGAGATTGGTCCCCTGATTCTCCTGCTCTAGTAAGAACTTGAAGATTATCTTCAGTTACTGCTGGTAAGAATTCTTCAATTTCACTATCCCATTCTAACAAAATGAAATATTAGATGTTCATTACGTTTTCAGAATTATTATATCAATTATTTTTAATAAAAATAGAATTTTATATTTAATGTTACATTAATCACCTTTGTGTAATATCATTTTACTAGGAAGCTTTAACAATAATGCAGGCCCAAGTAAAATGCTCATGCATATTGTATATGTAAGAAGTATACCATTTATGGTACGACCAATAATCCATAGACCCAAAGAAAGAGAGCAAACTGCAGTACAAAACTGAAATCATTTTTAGTGTTTAAAATTAAAATTCAAACAATTTATATATATTTAAACATAAAATAAAATGAAGCATAATTAATTTTTATATAAATATAATTAGTTTTTATGTTGAATAAAATAAAAATATATATGTTTAGAATATAGATATATTTTTCTATTTATATATAGTGAAATGTAACAAGTACAAAAGCATTACCACTCCTGGTTGCTCTTTTCTCAATTGCTTCAAATTATGAATTGCTGTTTTTATTTTTTTTCCTATTTTCTCAATTTGTTCTGTTTTTGCATAAGAGCTAAAAATATATTATAAATTTTAATTGTATTAATTTTATATGTTGACATAATTATGAATATATAACCACAATTGGAAATAATTTTGGAAATAATAATACATACGCAGCTAAATCCAATGCTTTATTTTCTTTTTGAACTTGAGTTTCTAAGGTACTATAACAGAGAACAACGACCAGTGCAGCACTGCTGGCTGCAGCAAAGCCTCGAACTTCTAATACAATAATACCCCTGAAAAATAAGTATTCATAAATAATCATTTTTATTTTATTTTTTTTATAATTTCATTACAAAATACGTAAATAATAAACTATTGTAATCAAATATAACAATAGTGAAACAAATAAATAATTTATGTATAATGTGATTTCTCTAATTTTCAATCACGATTTTAATTGTCAACACGTACTGCCATCTAGAATAGTAATGATAATCTGGTGAAAAAAATATGTAGAGAACATGCAATTCATTCGACGAAGCAAATATGAATGTCATGGACAAATATAATTGTGAAAAAAGAAATGCAAAAAAAGATTTTAGAATATATTATTTGAAATTAAGGAAATATTTTATATTAATTTGTTTTCATAATATGCGTAAATAACGTTATATGATTGAATACGTTCATACGCTTATCATAAAGAAACATAAAAAACACAAAGCATGCTTGAGTAACGATAGAGTAAGTATTTACAACTGACATCAAATGCCGAAACACGCATGCTTCTATAAACCTTGACCTAGAAAGCGACTTACTTTCAAAGCATTTAGAAACAATGAAATGTCGCGCAACGCT